TGTCTGAGTCCCTAAACCCTAAACCCTAAACCCCTAAACCCGAAACCCAAAACCCACAACCCTAAACCCTAAACCCGAAACCCAAAACCCTAAACCCAAAACCCTGAACCCTAAACCCTAAACCCTCTTTCTGAAGAATCCTGCGATGCACACCTTGGACTTCAAGCGACAGTGCCGGCCACCTCTCTTCGAATTGCTAGGGGTTTCTTGTTGCTACCATGGTTGTCGCGTCCCCTTTTAAGGCCTGCCTTCAGGTGCCCTTCTCGCCGGAAACTCCTGCAAACGCCCAAAAAAGCCTCGAACAAGCCGGCTGAAGAGTAATCAAGCCTGCAAACCTGAACCCCTTAAACAAGGAATGTAATTTGGATCATAAGATTGTTCCCCGTATACTTTAAGGTATACCGGTGTATCCAAAATCACATTGTCTTAAAGATCGAGTTATGCCTCCCAACTAAGGGATCGCAACGGACATATTATTTTTTGAATAATTCGGAGCAATTCCGAAGCCCTAAATTCCTATAGGCCCTATACCCTAAACCGAAGCTGCCGCCGAGCCACGGCTTCGATGCCATCTTTGCCTGGGGCCGGTCATCCTCGCAGCTAGTCTCCACAATAGACTTCTTAGAGCTTCAGGTTGTTTATAGAGTTTAGGGTTTACAGTAGAAGCCCAAAAGTTGGAAATCCAGCAGCCGCAATCCGTAAGAGCAATGTATAGGGAATCCCAGCACTATTCGTCCTTCGTCGGGTTTCCAACCTATTGGGGTTCGTTATATAGATCTTAGGGTCTGGGGCTGTAGGGCTGAGGGGTTTAGGGATTGGTCTCGATGGCGACAGTCGTGCAGCTTTTTGGTCAGCAGTTTCTTCATTGGTAGGGCCTGATATGAGTTTTGACGAACTGGAAGGGTTCTATACGGGTTCAGAAGGGTTTTGCTCAATCCGAATTATTAGTAGGTGTTTTAATGAATGCAGACGGCTCCTTTGAAACTTTAGTGGGAGAATATCTTGTGCTTTGCTGTCGCGAGACTAACATCACAGAACCCGACTTCATATAAGTATAAGGGTAGTTTTCTAAACTAGGGTCCCTTCTTAGGTCCCCAATGTAGTACGGTACCCTTAGGGTCTTGGGATTTAGGGGGGGTTGAGGGTTTAGGGTTTAAGGCTTAGGGTCTTGGGATTTAGGGGGGGTTGAGGGTTTAGGGCTTTGCGATTTAGGGTTTTGGGATTTAGGGGTTTAGGGTCTAGGCTTTTGGGATTTAGGGGCCTAGGAAGTTAAAATTCAGTAAAGGGTTTGTAAAGGGCCGCATAAGACCTGAGCCGCTAAACCCTGTGAAACCTTTACCCTGAGCTAGGCTCTCAAACCGTCCCAGTACCAAACCAGTCTGGTATGCAATGAAGTGGCCTGAAGAACCCATTACTGACAACTCTTCCGACTACTTCTAAATACGCAATATGCACTAGAACCCTGTTCGAATCATTGAGGACCCCATATTCCTCGCCAACATCTTAGCCTGCAATGACCGCTACTGTCCTAGACCCAAATAACTACCTGACCCCTGGGTGCGAAGGACTCGACGGCCCTATGTGCGTATATAGGTAGTCGTCAAAATTATGGACCCTTTTTGGGTACCGTACATATTAGGTGCCGTATTATTATAAGGACCCCAAAAGGGACCCTAATTTTGACAACCACCCATATATCTCTATATATATACAGAACAAAGAAGTGAATAAGTAAAAGTAGATAAATAAACACATATATATATATATATATATTTATTTATATGTATGTATACATCTGTATATATATATATACATACATACACTAAAATCACTAAAACCCTTCTCCTGTAAGGTTTGGTTTCTATGGTGTCGGGCTTAGGGGCCTGGGGTCTGGAGGTGGGTAGCTTTGGGATCTTGCCTGATTCTTTGAAACACTTTAGGGTCTAGGGTTTAAGGTTTAGGGATTGAGGGTTTAGGGTTTAGGGTTTAGGGATTGAGGGTTTAGGGTTTAGGGTTTAGGGGTTTAGGGTTTAGGGTTTGGGGTTTAAGGTTTTGGGATTGAGGGTTTAGGGTTTAGGGTTTAGCCCTGGAGAGATGGATTCTGTGCTTCCGGCGGACATCCTCCCGAGGTACTACAGGAGCCTGGTTTACGGTGGTCTTACCGCCGGCGGCTACCTTTTGGGCTTAGGGCTAAGATAGGGGCCTAAATAATTACCAATACTTTTCTGCGGGGTTCCTTATCATATTTATAATATGATGAGCCCTAAACTACCGTGCTCCAAATATTAAGGCCCCTGTATTACTTCACACTTTAGTTGATTCTTGACAGGACGGGCCTTGGCAAACACACACACACGCACAAAGAGAGACATACGTCTGTGTGTGTGTGTCCATGTCTACACGCATGTACTTGTCCTGTGCTGCATCAGTTGGCGTCTCTGTTTCTGTTGAGCATGCGTGCAGAGATGTGCATACATATATATATATATATACATATATATATATATGCAAGAAAATTATGGCCTACGCTGTGCTCCTGCCGCGTCTCTGTGGGCACAGTTGCACCCCCGAAAAGTGACCACGACGAGGCCTGCGAGAGGTGTCGGCATGCCTAACCCGAACCTCACAAACCTACCGAAAATTTTTGAATCAGAAACGCCGGAGCTCCTAACCCTAAAGCCAGCGAACCTTAAACCCCAATCCCGAAAGTCTGCGCCCCAGAACACGAAGCCATAAAAACAAAAACTTAAACCTCAACCCTAAAAACCCTAACCTAATCTCCAGAGCCGCTCAGCGGATCATAAGGACTTTCAGTGCGATGGACACACGGGGACAGAATGCAGAAGTTCAGCTCACCACGTACTTTGAGACGAGGTATGACAAGCCCAACCCGAGGGAGATCCAACGAAACCCCGAACCCGAGACGCGAAATGCTAAACGCCTGAACCCTGTAAGCCCCAACCCCTCGAACCCAAGTGTAAACCTTTGAATACTTGAAAACCCTATAGATCCCAAACTCTTCAAGCTCTGAACTTCGAAGCGCTAAACGAATAAAGCACTCTGAGCAGACTAGCGCTTAGCTTTTTGGCGTTTAGCGTTTAGCCTTCCGGGCACACCTTGACCAACCTAAAACCTAGAACCGACACCGACAAGCCCTTACTGTAAACCCTTGAACTCCGTTGCCCTACAGCCCTCCCACCCTCGGTTCGCTGAGGCTTTGGGGTTGAGGATTGAGGGTTTAGGGTTTAGGGTTTCGCTGAGGCTTTGGGGTTGAGGGTTTCGGGTATACGTTCAACTAGCATAGCCTGCAGCTGAGGAGGCTCTTGATAGAAACACACACGCGCACACACACCATTATGGCTGTATCTATATGAAGAGTTCCGTGTGCGTGTGTATGTATGAACGTATGTATGCATGTGTGCATGCATTGCATTGCATTGCAAGGGAAGATAAGGTAAGGCAAGGCAAAAGGCGAAAGGCGAAAGGCAAGGCAAAAGGCAAGGCAAGGCAAGGCAAAAGGTAAGGTAAGGTAAGGAAAGGTAGGGTAAGGCAAGGTGAGGTAGGGTCGGGTCGGGTAGGGTAGGGTAAGGTAGGGTAAGGTAAGGGTAGGGTAAGGGTAAGGGTTAGGGTAAGGGTAAGGTAAGGCAGGGGTAAGGTAAGGGTAAGGTAAGGGCAAGGTAAGGGTAAGGTAAGGGTAGCGTAGGGTAGGGGCAAGGCAAGAGTAAGGGTAGGTAAGGGGTTAGGTCAGGGTATGGGTAGGGTAGGGGTAGGGCAAGGGCAAGGTAAGGGTAAGGCAAGAGTAAGGGTAAGGTAAGGGTAAGGCAAGGGTCAGGGAAAGGTAAGGGTAGGTTAAGGGTAAGGTAAGGGTACGGTAAAGGTAAGGTAATGGCAAGGTATGGTAAGGTAGGGTCGGGTAGGGTAGGGTAAGGTAGGGTAAGGTACGGGTAGGTAAGGTAAGGTGAGGTAAGGTAAGGCAAGGTAAGGCAAGGTAGGGTAAGGTATGTGTGATATATGTGTCTGTTGATCTGTCTGCCTGTCTGTCTGTTTCTGTCTGTCTGTATGTACGCATGTATGCATGTATGTATGTATGTATGTATGTATGTATGTATGTATGTATGTACGAATGTATGTATTCATGGTTTGTACATGTATATGTACATGCCTACGCATATGTTTGTTACTTGTACATGTATATGTACATGCCTACGCATATGTTTGTTACTTGTATGAAAGCGTATGTTTATGTAATGTACATGTAGCCAACAAACAAACGAACAACCAAAAAAAACAACAAAACAAACAAACAAATATAGAGACACACAAACATACATACAAACATATTACGTGCGTAATAGATACACTAGATGACATTACATGACATTACATGACATTACATGACATTACATGAAATTACATGGCATTACGTGACAATACTTTACATGCCTTTACATTACATTACTATTACATAATTACATTACTAATAAAACCATTAATTACATTACTAATTAAATTGCTAGTTACATTGCATTACTACTTACATTACATTACATTACATTACATTACATTACATTACATTACATTACATTACATTACATGGCATTACTAGTTACAGTGCATTACACTAATAGTTACATTACAAATTACATTACTAATTACATTTCTAATTCCAGTACTAACTACATTACTAATTACACTACTAATTACATTACTAGTTACAGTACTAATTACATTACTAATTACACTACTAATTACATTACTAGTTACAATACTAATTACATTACTAATTACATTACTAATTA